GACAAAAATATGCCTTTTGTCTAAAACACACAAACTTCTGCAACTTCTGCAGCGTGTCCAAAATGCATGTGCCAGATTTTGTTTTTTTATACCCTCTCGTATTCACGTCACTCCTTATCTCAACGCTGCAAATCTACTAAATATCGGGGCTCGTCAAAATCTCCTGTATGCAGGACTTTTATTCGATTATAGTAAAAACTAGAACACCTGAATATCTTTATGAGAAACTAATGTGGTCATATAGTGTTAATGTACGCTACAGAGAGCGATCTGTCCGATCATGTGTTCTTATGGTACCACAACATAGAACTGCAGCTTTTCGAGGTAGTTTCAAATACTCGGCCTCAAAGTGCTGGAATAATATTCCACCACCTATACGCAACGAGACATCCAAACCCAAATTCAAAGCACTGTACCGGCAACACCTACTCTCACTTCAAAAATCTGTGTAGTGTGTTTTTATTCTTTAACGTAGTCTGTCTAGAATCGAATTTTGTTGTTGCTTTGATCTATTCTTATTATGTGTATAATTATATTATAGTACTAATTACATTACACAACATTAAATCCTCTTTACAGTCATAACTTACACCTACAGCCGTAATTATATTCACATTCGCTCATGCACTTACATGTCAAACAGGTTATTTTAGATGCACTATTTACACTTTACTATGTATTTTATTATTGTCAATGTATAACTTTACTCATAGTCGTTATATTTTTGCTTTCAAATAACTTAATCCCTCTCGTTGGTTCTGACTGAAAACCAGCGCCTTAGGAAACTTTGGCATATGCTGAGTCAGCGCCGTTTCACTGCTATGACAATCATGTTTTGTTTTTTCTTTTATGCTTAATCTGTATTTGAGTTATATCAGTGAATAAAGTGTTTATCTATTTATCTATCTATCTAAATATTGACAGTGAGACCAATTAACTGTTGATAAAAATGTGTCGCTGCAGCATTAAGGGATGCGCCATTAGCAAAAGCGAAAATCGACCGAATGTTACATTGAACATGTATTATTTACATTACACTGGGCATGTGTTATTTTTCTATCTATAAATTGTACAATAGCCCAAACATCTCATGTAATTAAACTTATTTAAGTAGTTTATTCATAAGTCTTGCCAAATTTTGCTTTGGTTACTTTAGATTGCCTGTTTGTTTGCATATTTTGACCATTATTTTGAGGTAGTGTTGTTCTTGTAAGCATACTTACTATCGATATTATGTATTTTGAGGTTTTTATTAATTCTTTATTATTATTTTTATTTTTAAAGGCTTTAAATAAAAAATGAAAGAAAGAATGGTTGGAAATTATAGGACTGCCGAACATAAACATTGGATCAAATACCATTTTCGTTTGTTGGCTTCATTTTGAGTCAAATTTTAACACTCTTCAAATAGAACTTTGAATGGAACTAGATTACAATGACAATGCAATTCCATCGTTACATTTATCGGTAAATATTTTTATATTTAATTTTGATTAAACAAGACTCATTACTAAGCATTATCAGTTCCTTAAAACAAAACTATCCACCTTCATCACAGTAAACTATATAAAAAGGAAACGAGAAAGGAGAATATAAGCGGCCGACCACTGTAACACATACACATTCATACAGGGTTTCTCAACCTTTTTCTACTCATGGACCCTTCTCAAAAAAATGTCAAAGAACCCACAGACCCTTTCCGAAAAGATTAAAAAGTAGATTTAACTTTTACTAGTTTACATCAATTTTTACCTAATTAAACATGAATAGTTAATGTGACGGTTGCTGTTGTATAATGTTAGGTAAGCTCGCCAGGGATCGGCGGCGTTCATGACACGGACCCCTTCAGCCTCGCTCCCAGTACTGGCGAATTTGCCGGGTCGGTAACTGCCGGTGCTGTATATGAACCTATTCACATTACGATATGATATGAAGTTATTCAATTATTGGTTTTGTCATGCGAGCACCCTCACAGTTTCGTGATACCAGGGTGGCACTATTACTTTACAATGCTTTTGTAAGAAGTGGGCTGGAATACTGCGCGGAAATCTGGGATCTTTATGAGGATAAATATTGTCTCCAGATTGAAAAAATACAAGAGATACTTATACAAGAGAATGTATGGTTACTAACCGCTGCTCTTTCCTCCCTTATTTGTCTACGGAATTGTCGGTTTTATCACCTTGGAAGTAAGACGTAAAGTTCGAACTGTACTCCATTACGTATTCCTCCTGGGAAGCAAGGACAATCCCGGAACATTAAGCAACGTCGATCTGTTTGTGCCAAACAGGTACGTGTGCACGGGCCGACGCCGACATCAATTGTTTGCGCCCCCCGTGGGACACACTTGCCGGGCTGACAACGCGCCCACGAAACGTAGTCTCGCGTTGCTTAATTGTCTAGTCGCTAAGGTCCAGGATGCTGACATCTTTTGCGACAGCCTTAGCAAAGTAATTTATAAGGCAAACTTAACGTATCAAATATGTAAGCGTTCTTGATTGTTACTGTAAGTTTACATTGTGTCTTTGATAAATAAATAAATTACGCCGGACGGATTGTTGCCGGAGCATGTCACTGTGGACCGCCGGCAGAACGCCCGGACCGAAGTAATGTGAACGAACTTGCTCAGTCCTGCTCCGGTATCCCTGTCCCCCGCTCGTCTCACCTGTACTCCCCGCGTGTCATTTTGGTGTTCATCCAAAGAGGATGCTGTCATTCGAAAAAATAATTGAAAAACTTTGACTCGCCATTTCTCAGTTGGTTCATTAATTAAATTTTTATTGAATTGATATTCAATTATTTTTTGTGAAATTACTCTACTAGTTTGTTATAATTATTAATACAAAGATCGAACACTCAGAAAAAATTCCTTCGATCCGGTCGGATTCGAACCGACGTCTTCTTGCATACCGTGCCAGACGCTATACCAACTAAGCCACGGAACAAAACAACGGACCTCACGAATTTTTCTATGTGCTTGCGTCGTGTCTTTGTACTTGGTCCTTCAACGACTTTTTAGTCGTAGCGCCATCTATGAGAAATCTATTACAGATTTATCACCCATCGAATTTTTTCTGAGTGTTCGATCTTTGTATTAATAATTATAACAAACTAGTGGTCCATTAATGTTCAAAACTTCCAAGTGAAAATCTTTTCCGTAAAATAGGATGTACCCAATTTTTTCTTTTTACTTTATTAAGCCTTCACAACACCACAATTTTGTCGTCTATCGTGCGCAGTGGTTTGAATTCGACTGAGGTAAGGACTTTAGTCTCCGTTTTCTTGCGAGATTCGGCTTAATGTGAATACCTAGTCCGAGCGCCAGTTTCCCAAAAAATACGCCGGTCGGCATAGTGGGAACGAGACCTTAGGGGTCTATGAACCACAGGTTAAGAAACTCTGCTCATTATGTAAACAACGATATCCACGTATATCAATTATTTTCTCTTTCATTCTGAACTTAGAATCCGCGTATCAACAGATGGCATTGTGTGTTACAAACTAATTTATAAATTAAAGCTTGCTAATATGGGTAGATGGCGCTAATCCCAAACAAATCAAAATAATAGCCGGCACTATTCAACAAGCGCCATCTAGTTGATTTGCTTGTTATCACTAGAAATTAGAGTAGCTTTGATAAATTGCTGCCATTTCATACTCGTCGCGACATCTGGTGTACCAAAAGGAACTAAATACTTGATTATGCTGTCTTCTGTCTTGTATTTCACTTAGCATTCCTCTTGAGTTATAGGTCCATGGTACAAATAAAAAATATCCCATTATTCGCAATAAGATTCTTTCAGTTTTATTTTTGAGTTACGACAGTATTTATTTTGGTTTCATATGCGACATGATAAATGCCACAATAGAACAATATAGGTGTATTTTTCAAGTCACAGAAAAAAGCATAAAGGATAACATTCTGATTCTTAGCCAAAGAAATAATTATGTTGCTCTCCCATAAAATGTACCACACTGACGGTGAGAAAAACTAAACTTTCCAATTGTTTAACAATATCTTACAATTTTAAAACCGTATTATTTACATCGCACAAAGAACAATAAATTCTGGATTCGTAAACAAGCTCAGCAGGTCTCGTTATTAAATTTCTTCACCAACCATTGCTGTAATGAGACGAAAAAAGGACCGAAGATTTTTATTTGAGGCATTATAGTCTTAAGTTAGCCGGCATGCAATCATACTATTAACGTGCAAATGTTAGGAAAAACATTGTATATTTCACGGGCGGTACGGGAATTACGAACTTCGACTCCAAAAGACCTCAATCTTAGACTTCGGGCTCCTAATAGTCTCGTTCGTAATACCTTATTTACCGCCCTATAATACACAATGTACTATTAATTTAATTGATCGTTAATTACCAACAAACACGTTTCAAATAGTTAATTTTGTGATAATAGTTCATCGCTTTAACTAACCCTACCACAATTGGTTTACAATTACATCACATAAAGGCGTAGGTTAAGATCTTTGGCTTTAAATAGTTAATTTAATTAGTAATTACACACTTATTTAATGCTGTGAGTTTTTAGTTTAAAAACAAGTTTAAGCATAGTAGGAGAACACACAAGTAACTACATAAGCACGTTTTTATGCAAGAAACTGTAGGACGTTATTTCACTGAGAAAGTCTCATACAACCCGTACGCAAGTTACTTGCACAACGAACACGAGCTCTAAAAATAAATTTGTTGTACGAATTGTATATGAATGAAGACACTTAGGTCAGATATGTGGTGTTAAGTCAGAGTGTTCGGACTGGCGTGGGCGCATTTGAAGTTTTTCTTTTGTTTTTTTAAATGTAGAAGAAATTATACGACTGAAAACGACGCAAGCGCAACCCTGGTTGTTCTTAAGAAACAAACGTCTTTTGGGACCAAATACTGCGCTTGCAATCTGTAATAACTTCCATATTTCTTCAGCATTCACGGGGATAAGTAAACTTTTGGGTTTAAAAGCATCCGAGCGTAATTGCGATTGCGCTGTTTTCGCTAGATTATTTGTGACCAACATCAATTTGTTGTATAGGATTCGGCACCACGTCACATCTCTGACCCTTACAAATAACGTTTAGCAGCGGAAAAAGATGAACACACAATATAACACGCTTTACAACCATTACCATACGTAGCGCATTATAACCTGAACGTGAAAGCGAGTTCCGCCCCCTCAACCCGCCACTACCCAAGGCGCGAACTAGCTTAAACAATCAGTCAATACCAGCTACTTTGCAAAGCAAAATGCTGATGTCTCAGTACGATTAGTATGGTGATGACAAGTGCGTGTTCAAATCAATAGTGCAAAGACAGGACGATATAATTTGTTTCAGTGCTGATGTCCCGTCTGTGTTCACCTTCGGAGATCGACCATTTCCACGGGCGCTGTCTCGTCCAGGTGGATATGGTTTACGTTCTGGAACAGTATTAAGAAATATATTAACTATAGTCTGTCTTTTTTGAAGACGGAGTAAAATGATAGTTCATAGCGCAAAATTGTTGCCCAATTACAAGTATCTAGTGATTGCAGTCGATAAATATTCTATCGACAATCGACTGAATATTGGTCACGCTTATGGAATAAATGCCTCAACTTGTTTCCCTTGAATCATGCTCGACTCATTATTCATACGATTACTAAGCATTTTGAATTGTCAATTTAGACTATCGACTGTGAACTGGTAACCGGTACTGGCAAATCAGATGCTATATAAATGGCGCAAACAATTTTTTCTTCATCTTGTAAAGTTGTCATAATTGAGATAGTACCAATTGCCAGTTCACAGTCGCTATGTTTATGAAAAATACAAAGAGGAGACACATTTTAAAGATTTTCGTTTAAATTCAGTGTAGATAATGAAATCCGGCTATTCTTGTTAAAATGTTATGAATGAAAATTGATCTCGATACTAGTAAGCGAAGTGTCAATATAAGAAGGCAATAACGCGATTAATTATTAGAACGTCATAACTTTCACAATTCAGTCAATATCTTATATTATTTTATCTTCTTTCACAATCTATCGATAAAACTATCGACAACGACTACATAACTATTTAAAATTTTATGAAAACTGGAAACTCGACAAATGTCATTTTACTCCATCTTCAAAAAAGAGACTATAATAATAAAGTGCATTGCACATAAGATGGTGTCCTTTTTTCCAAGCCACACATTGGAACGTTGGTCGGACAAACAGTTTTGTGTGAGCTTATACGAGGTGGAAATTTGAGGCAGGTCAGCAATGGCAGCTGCCTAAAAACAGTTCGAGAACACTGCCCATGAATTTTAAAAATATTGCGATAGGCGTTCTCCGAACGAATGTTCTGAGAACGCCTATATGAATTTTTGTAAGTGTTAATAACGCACACTCAACATAGCCCCGTACTAGGGAAACCCTGTGTCGCGGGTGCCATGGACACACACATAGACAACCACAATCTACACCCAAACTCACGAGAGAAATAATGTACGCCATACAAATATTTCTCCCGGCCCGGAAATCGAACCTGGGACTTCTGCGTGGCAGTCCGGCATGGTAACCATACGGCCACGGAGGCAATTATAGTCTTTGATCTTTGTTGTTAATAATCATAACAAACTAGTGTTGGCGTAACGAGTTTAAATTAGAACTTGTATCGATTATTGGCATACTTTAAGTACGTATACGATTTGAACTTATTATTATAATTATTAATACAAAGATCGAACACTCAGGAAAAATTCCTTCGATCTCATTGACTTACAAATAAATGGACGACGGGTCTAATACAAAAACCACGAAAAAAATGTCCCAAGTCAACCTATTTAAACGTAGTGATATGTAAAGAAATATGAAAAAGCTAAAACGTTGAATTTAAATTGTAATGTCATCGCAGTACTGTCTAAGTTTGCTTGCTTCGCTGTCAGAAGAAACAAACGAAGACTAAAGCGTGAATGACGCTCTGTATACGATTTTAACGCCCTATAAGTTCGGACACTTTTTAGCTCGGACCCGACGTCCATATAATTGTAAGTCAATGTTCGATCCGGTCGGATTTGAAAAGATATTTCATATTAATTATATTTCAAAAATGACTAGCAAATTAATATATGGCTGATATCAGTCTATATTTCAATTTATCAATAATAACATTTAAAAGTATCTAACTTCCTTTCTAAAAGAAATGCCAACCTATCAAGCATTGGCCTACCAAAAGCATTAATCAACGAAATCGCCAGTCTGTTAACCCACCAAAAACGGTAAGGCGAAGCTTGATGGTATGGTTGCAGAAGAAAGTTTATTTTTTAATTTTAGTTTATAAAGGTTATTTATACAGGTATGTACTAATTGTCTTCTTTCATTATGTAATTTAGTAACGCACCATCACGTATACTATTTGCTGAAAAGGAAATAAATGTTTGAAAGTGAATTGTACAAAGCCATTTCCTTTCGTGGCTTAGATGCTACGTTAATTACCTATGTTTTTAGTTGAGAAATTGCTTACGCTAGTGAAGTAATCTCGCAAAGAAATTATTGAATATCATGGTAGAAAAATATCGTGACAATTAGTAAACTTAAAAAATATATACGGACGCTAAGGTCGACCTTTCTCCACGCTCCCGTTTCTATCAGTTCCTTAATTTAGAGCAACAACAGAAGAAAACTTACATAGAAGAGTGGTGGGTCGTTGGGGTGCGGGTGGAAGCCAGACAGGCGGCAGTTGGCGATGAACTGCATGCCGTAGTCTGGTGTTAACGCGAAATAACCGGTCCTGGAACAATCCATGACGCTTCATATAAAACTAACGTAACCATACAGCGGGACAGTCCCGCTTTTAAGTTTCGTATCTCCAAAATACTTAACAATGACCCGCTTTGACAATAACTGAAATCACAAATTAGAAAGCTGAAATAGTACAGCGCCAACAACTGACCTGTGTGTACGTCTCCGTATATTCCAAATATATTCTGTATTTATTGCAATAAAGATAATGTCTCTAACAAGGGCGTGCTGTTCCATTCGGTGATGTAGGTAAAACAGCAAAACATCTAATTATAAAACAAACCGAATCAAATTTCATCGGCAATTAAATATTAATTAAGTAATTTTGCAATTTTCGTTCATTATAGCAAAGCTCAAGTTAACTGGTCGCTTTGAAGTGAAACAATTGACGACACCCGTCAATTATTCCAAATTCGGGCTGGCCAATCGGAGCGCAGTTGTCATGGTAACGATTTGGCAGAATAGTTTTCAAACAAATGAAATGACATCTCGTCTCTATTGCTGGTTATATACTTGATGAAAAAACAGGACACAAGTGACCATTAATGAAGCGAAAAATATTTTTTAATTTTTAAACTTTAAACACTGTTAGATATTTAAAAAAATTGTTCAATTCTGTGCGTTAGACATGGAATTATTATTATGAATAGATTCTGTGAATAAATCTTTGAACGACACCCATTTATGATAATTGCCATTAAAAAATGGAATGTCCATTATAGGTGTCGTTTTTTCTTTATACGTTACAGCCCACATTTTGCTATTTATTGACCGTTTGATGTCATTGTACTGATTTTCGTATGTGTTGAATGTTTCTTCATATTCTTCATTTTCTTCAACGAGCTCGCTGTCTATTTCCCAATGCAATGAGTGTATAGCTGCCCAACGAGCTTCTAAGTTTCTTAAGACATCTTGATATTCCCACTTTTCTGTTAATTTTGTCAAATTTATGTTTGTAAAAGTGCGGGAAATTGCTTTAAAATTGCTCTTCTGCTTGCGTAACATTTCCTCCAATTTGCTAGGAGAGCCCTGATCGCGTCTACTTCGTTGATATTGTTCTTCAGCAAAGAGCTCTGGTAGTGGCTCTTTTGTAGAAGGAGGATAATTGATTACCTTCGGCGTTGTAGGACGTTCGTCGTCTCTTGTTGATGGAGCAGAAATAGAATCAGTGGATGTGCCTGGCTTGTCCACTAATATTTTTTCTTTTAGATATTGCTGAAGGTATGAGCGTACTTCACCGTAGAATTGCTTCGTTTTTTCGTAAGTATTTTTGGTAAAGTATTCGTTGCTGCGATCTTCATATTGGCACAGTTGACTATGATTGCTTCGAAATTCAACCCAGTATGCTTCTAAGGTGTCTAACCTTTTTTTGATGTTTGCTGGCGTCTTGCGGTCGGCGCCATCTTTTTTGAAATTGATCAAAAGCTGCTCAATTGCTCCTATGAGCTGATTTTGAATTGCTAATAAATTTTCCATATTGATTTGCTTACGGAAAATTGATAGTTCAGCGTAATTGTAAACTTCACGTGGTATGTGCGCCTTCTCAATCTAGCCGGTGAGACCCGCTTGTGGGAGGCCGGCTAAACCGATTCGCTACCAACGCAAAGAAATACAAATTAACACTGAAATGGCTGCTGTAGTGAGCCTGCTTGTAGCGAGAACTGTCGTGCTCTCACGTGGTTGATAGCTGCAGTGCTGATTCAATGAAACTCACACGCCGAATTTCGACGTCACGAAGGCTCGAAGGACCATTAAGATGTACGGTGTTCCATACACTTATAAATGATAGTATTATAACTGTTAAGAATGTTTATTAGTTTTGATTTACAACTAATAATGATACATTTGATAGGTGTTAAATGAGTACACTGCGCGATGGCTGATTGTGAACTAAATATAAATTATAACTAAATGTCGCATGAATACGTAAAATGCCGCATAAACACAATGTACGATATTGCACCGTACAACAACATTACGCAACTATCATAAACGTTATATATTGTTTTTAAAACAGTAATAAAGAGACGTCCCGCTCTGGAGGGAAAAAAATAATGATCACGTTGTATAAAATATTTATATTTATATTTCGACTGAGTGAGTCTAACTGTCATGGCAAAATACGCTCTATTATTTAGCTATTACGTTTTAACTTAAATGAGCGTCTCGGGCACGCGGGGGAGGCTGGCTTGAATTTGGTCTACGCGGCGGCCCGCGCGGTTGTATTATTCTGAGGAATTTAAATCTTGTTGCCTAGTAAATAAAATTTAGATTCGCCATTAATGTAAATAAAGGCGTGGTAACTGGGCACTCACGACAATCTTTCGCCTCGTGTAACTGTACCCTTATGCATCGCAATGAAAATGGCACCAGTGGCTTCGAAAGTTCGTGGAATTCATCTATTTGCTAAATTTGATTAAAATTGGTAACGGAAAGTGGATTAAATCCAATAAAAATTCATCCTCTAATTTACCTTAGACGTGGAACATTTTCTTCACATTTGAATGGGACCACTATTAAGGTACCCGCTTTCCAACAAAAAAAGAATCGCAATCGGTAAACAACTCTCGGAATAATCGCGTAATATACATACAAAAAAACACAATCGAATTGAAGATCTCTCCCTTGTTTTGGAAGTCGGATAAAAAGCAATAAAGGATGTATTTATTTTTCTTTTTTTCTGGAGACCTAAAATACAAAACTCTGATTTAGTTTGGGCTCCAGCTTTCCACAAATGTGTTTTGTTCTGGAAAATATTTACTAAGTTATTCATAAGTACCTTGTTTTGGTACTATTGTGGAAGGAGAAATAAACGATTTTTATTTTATTTTATTATTTTTTACTCACTCGTTGTACTTGGGCGCGCAGACGATGGCGATGGCCTCCGGCATCATGAGCTGGTACGAGCACTGCGTATGCAAATCCACCGACGATAAGAACGCAGTTTGCGTCGGATGCGTCTGTAACCACATGTTACCACCGCTATTAGACGCAAATTAATTAAAATACATTTATTAATGCCAAATGCAAAATAATAGATATTTTAGTATACATGGCGACATCCCGTGTATTTTGTGACCCAGTGTTTTTGAAGATGTGCATTAAAGAGACCTATCAATATTTGTGACTCTTAATCAAAGCATCAAAAAGGCTAATTGAGTACAACCTGTAGAAGCTGGGGTTATAAAATAGATTAACATTGTCCCATATTACGCTTCAGATGTTTGTTTGTAGTACCAGAAAACAACAAGTTTTCATAAAAACGTTAACATGTTCTACCTCAATGAAAATGAATAAAAATGAAATCTGCTCAAATGGCAGAAATCTGCTACAAATGGTCACACTGTTCTCAATCTCAATGTGACATTGACGTTGGCAAGAGGCTTCTAGTTAGAATGTTCCTTTGCTAACTTTTTTATCTCTCATTTAAATATTGTCGAAACATTTTTGTCACATTTCGTTTTATTTTTTACTCTATTTCATTACTGTATAATTGATTATTTGATATTATATAACTGTAATGTTTTATATGTGTACTATAAAATAAACATTTGATCATGCTTAAAATGAAACGTGTGTACAAAAACGTTACTTAGTCTATGGCCGAACTGAATTAATTGCGTTGTGCTCTTGCATTTATTCTAAAATACATTGTTTTATAATTTCTTTATTCCGGACTTATAAAAATATACAAAATGATATTGATAACCAGACATAGAATAAAACGTAAAATTATACTAGTAAACTCCATGAACGGCTCTTAGTTGATTTTTATAATTATTGGGTCAGCTTTCGCCATCCTTCTTTCAAAAAATATTTACCTGCAAATTATAATCATACTCGCAACACACATTTATTCATCAAATTATAGAAAACTTTTTATCGATATACTTCATCTCTAGGAAATGCAGTGTGGTGAGGAACTAACCTATGCACGTTGTCGTAAAAAATATTGAATTTTTGAAAAAAGAAAAAATGTTTTTCCACTGCTCATTTTCTACAAATGAACATTGTTGTGGTGTTATTTTTACTTTAATATGATGTATTATTAATAAAAATAGTTTATGAAATACGTAAATTAGGGCACGTCGTTACAAGGTTACATTGTGCAGATTTTTATGATCTGGCATAGGGATCATCCAAGATTACTTTTAGTATAACAATTGTAACTACTTAGATATCAAAATTCAACTTATAGTTGGATAATGGTCTAACCTTTTTTTTTTTGCAAGTATGGATTAACAAGCAATATGAACTCACGTGTATCCACCCTAGCGTGATAAGGTTGTGCTGATCTTGGTAATGGAAGATTTCCTCCTCGTTGTTTGTGCTGCACGAGTCCGCCGTGCCAGTCTGTTTGGGCACGATCACATGCGTGATCTTCAGCTGGTCCCGCTCCTGCAACGCCAAGGAACATCAAAATTACTTCTACTTTTTTTGACGTTCCTGTCTGTGATATACTGTATACCCCAGTATAGTATCGCACGCTCGGACACTACTGCTACTTAGTAAAAAAAACTCTGGAAAAGTTGGAGACTCGTTGAAGGCTCGCCGAGACTTCTAGCGGATACACGGCGTAGTTCGCACTCATACTTATCGATACCTCCAATCAACACTACGCCAAGTTAATTTTTGGACCTGTTCTTTTTTTTGTTTCTTTTTTCACAAAATCCTTTTTTTGCTTTTTTCGAATTTTATTTTTTGTTTCTTTAATTTTTTTTTTCACAAATTTCCGGGAGCACTATATTACTAAACAAATATAGCTGTTTACAAAATTAACAGAAAGTGACCAAAAAATTAAGTTATCGTTGTGTTTTCTCCCCTATCTAGTTTGGACGACTGACAGTGCAGCGGCTTTAGTATTGTGTGCATTAGCATATTATAATCTAGAGAAAATTAAAATTAGAAATAAAATTAAGATAAAAGGAAGATACATAACCATCTGGCAACTTTGCACACACACACCTAATTAACGGCTCCAAGACCGACCTGTGAATATGACAGCTTTCTCTTTCTAGCACGAGAAACCCCCTTGAAGCGAGAAAAAGACCCGACGCCGATCGGAGAACAGGCCAGAACCACTCACATTCACTTTTTTCGGGTATTTTCGAGGCTTCTTTCCGGGAGTTTGGAGGTTATATTAGGAAATTAGGCTTGTTGCTGATACAGGTTTCTTACATATCAGCGGATGCAGATTTTATGATATTCAATTATTCTTATAGCTTGTTATAATTTTATTATTAATACAAAGATCGGACACAAAGAACACTTCTTTCGATCCGGCTGGATTCGAACCAGCGCCTTCAGCATATCGTGTCTGACGCTCTTCCAACCGAACTTTGGAACCAATCAGTCGGGAGGTCGAAGGAATTTTTGCGTAGAGTAATTTCCCACTAAGTGCATAGCCGCGAGTGATCGCAGCCGTAGCGGCTAGTTTTTCTTTAGAATCGCGTCGCGTCAATGGTGTAATGGTTTGTTGGAATAAATAAGAGATGCCATGAGTCGCGTAGTGGAAAATGCGTGTTAGTGTTCGACCTTTGTATTAAAAATAGTTGGATTTAAGTTAGATTAACGACGTTTGTTTTCTTGTACACCTTTTGATCAAAATTGTGCGAACACAGGCGGACACTGAAAAACAGCACTATCCTTTTTAACACTCATTCATAGCTCATAATTTATTTATACAAATATATCGTGTGATTTTCTGTATATATATCTGGCTCTTGGCTGGCAACGACTCCAAAAATAATTGATTAGATATTTTAAATATTTAAGTATCAATATTTTTTTTTGAGGTAAAGGAAAACTTCAAACCGATCAGTAAGTAGCACGCACCAATAATAATATTTTGTTAAAATTATAAGTAATCGGTTTGGACAATATTTTTCACGTTGCAATTATATAAATAAACCATTGACTCAATGAAATAAACCATAAATATAAATAGATTAATAAGATGTTCGATAATGAATCGTGAGGCTGGTCTATTGCGCGGGAGGTACTCGCCAGCACGCCGGCGAGGATGCCGCAGCACTCGACGTTGCGCGCGGTGTCGGCCGCGGCCAGGCGCAGGAAGCGCGCCAGCAGCGCCGAGGGCGCGCGCACGCGCCGCAGCGACGGCCGCTCCGCCGCGCGCGCCAGCAGCGGCGTCAGCAGCCCCGAGAAGTTCGACGACTCGCGGTTCCTGCCACGACCGTCAATTAGTACCAAGAAAATGGCTGCAGAAGTTATCCTATGAGAAGACGGAAGAACTTCTCGTTAAACTAGCATGAATTAATTATGAACAAACTATTTTATCTAAATTATTTATCTACCTGTACAATGCTTTTACGTGCACTCTACTCAGCAATTTTTTTTTTCGCTCTTGTACACTCATAGATGCTGCTCACTTTTTATTACTGCAAATGCACATATTCGTATCGTACTATTTAATTCCCTACCCACACGTCACGGCACTATCTACATAAAATTATTATAATTATTAATACAAAGACCGAACACTCAGAAAAAATTCCTTCGATCGGGCCGGATTCGAACCGACGTCTTCTAGCATACCGTGTCAGACGCTATACCAGTTATGTTTTTCAACGACTTTTTAGTCGTAGCGCCACCTACGCACATAGAAAAATTCGTGAGGTCTGCTGGTTCGTTCCGTGGCTTAGTAGGTACAACGTCTGCCAGGGTATGCTAGAAGACGTCGGTTCGAATCCGGCCGGATCGAAGGAATTTTTTCTGAGTGTTCGATCTTTGTATTAATAATTATAACAAAGTAGTGGAGTAATTTCAAAAAAATAATTGAATATCAATTCAATGCAAATTTAAAATTATTATTATTCAAGTGTGACACCGTGACACGCCCCTCACCTAACACTGCCCTCTTTTTTTTTTGCCAACACTCACACAACTGACGCGTTTGCGTTCCAGCAACTTTTTTTTTAATAATAATATCAAGTGACGGGACGAACAAGTCGTGCACCTGATGGTAAGCTATACGCCTATCCATAACAGTTGCCGTGCCACTCAAAACTTTAAATCGCAAAGATTTGAGGAGCACTGCCACTGCGCCTATCACCCTGATACGCAAGTTGACAAGTCCCATGTGCCTGTAATTTCACCAACCCCCTTACTCTTTTAAACCGGAACACAGTAATCTGACATTACTGCTTGGCGGCAAAAATAGATAAAGTGGCAGTAATTCCCTGGACGAACTCTATCACAAGGAGATCTACTGCTACTTTCGATATATATCAAGTACTTCTTAGTTGCATTAGTTTTCTAAAGTGCAAAACAGTATCGAACGAATATAAAGAATAACAACGTTGGATGTCAAAGATAAACAGTTTATTTACTAAGAAAAAAGAATAGCAATTATATTTGTTATAGAAACCGAGTTCTCGGGTTTTCGATTGAACACAGGAAATGAAACTATTTTTTCGGGCCCTTTATAGGTCCCATGATTACGAGTAACTCACCCACTCACGGGTGAATTTACAAATATACGCAATTTAAACTCGAAAAAATAGTTTTAATTACCTAAACAAATATCAATTACTCATATTTCGCTTAACAATAAAACTGAAACTAAATAAGATATAAAAAAACCGATTAGACAGGTCCAAGATCTCCTATCACTGGTCCCAGTAGAGCTAGCACGATAAGGCGCGACATGAGCGACAGCGACATAAAGCGCGAGACAATGCTATTCTCGCATAGAAATCACGCGCTCTGTGACAATGTGACGTCCTTACATCGGCATCCCACTTTTTTATCGCCTTTTCTCCGGTTCCTAGTTTTTAAATTTTGAATCGTTCTTTAATTCCTTTGCCTCGCCATTCTGATTTTGTTTCGTACCATCGTCACTCCGTGCTCGATCGCGGCAGCGTACAGTGGTATAAAAATTTCAATTGCATCTAATTTTGATTTTTTTACCACTTTTAATACCGATCTGTAATAACTACTACCGAATCGATCCAAGGTTCCCCTTCTCTTGATTCCTTCAAACGACGTGTCAAGGATCACTTGCTCAATTCTTAATTTTTGTCTGTTTCTCCGCTACCCTTTCATTTATTTCCTTTACTTTTTCCTTTTAGAGTATATAAGCATTTAATATTATTATCATGGATCAATACCTCAAGTCACGAGTTATTGGTCCATGTTATTATTTATGTATTAATAATATTTATATGGATATTTCTATCTACATGTATGAGTTTATTAATAATTATAATGCGGTGTACTTATAATGATATTCTTTGGTTGCACCCCTTTTGCATATCCCAAATTTCTATCCTAAGGTCGCCTGGAAGAAATTGCTATATAGCAATAAGGCCGCCTGATGCACATTATTACACTATCTTTATACCTAAGTTACTGTACTGTATTTTTAACTGTAATTTTATGTACAATAAAGAATATTTCCTTCATTCATCCATACTATTAATCACGTGCCAATTCTAATACCAATTTGTAATACCGTATAACTCGGCTCTTTTGGGGTAAGTGTCTGGACTGTTTATGTTAATCCATAGTAAGGGAGTGTTTTATACTGTTGTGTCTGTTTTATATACCTTTTCTTGTCTTGTTACAGCGTTTTCTTTACCATCAACTTAACAATAAATTTCTGTGGACCTGAAATTTTCTTATCTTACTGCCGCGAACTTGGTCACGGCTCATTAGGGTTACAACCTTTTCAGGTCTATGTCGCATTTGCGCAAGTCGTGCTAGTCCTACAGACATGTTAATAACGAGTTTTGTTAAGAATGTCAGTTATGTTAGTTATGATAAGGAGGGCAGAATAATAAAGCGAGGATTTTTTTTAAATTCCACGCCACCAGAGGGTCGATTCAGAACTTACGATAACTCTGTTGTCAACCGATTCGATTTGATATTACGTACGATTTCTTTTTATTTTTATTCACAACACCCGAATCGAACGTCAAACTGTCGTATTCGAAAACCGAAATGACCATTACTCGAGCTTTTCGACTGGCAAAGGCTACAAACGTTATTCAGACCACAGTTACCGAACGTCCTATTGTTTACAAAGCAAGAATGTAATATGGAAATCTCTTATTATTTTATATGAAGTCTGGATTTTGTTCAATTTTATTAATTTATTTTAATGCTTTATAATTTAAAAATGTATATAAAAGGTTTTCATTTTTCTTATAATCTATTTCACCGACTAACTCCGTAAACGCCATTGGATAACGATATCGTATACGAATGCGAATCAAACGTTAAACTCGAATGTTCTTAATAAATGAAATGCTAAAGTCGCGTGTTTTGCTCATTTCAGTGAATTCAGAACTTCAAAACACTCCCCTGTGAACTTGGCAATTTCGACATACGATATTTTACGTAGGTCAATTTGTCCTTGACAAGTTTGTAACCTTCTCCAGTTACGACACGTGTAACTTCTATATTTCCATTTACAATTGACAATTGATTGCAGCACATTGCTGCACGTCAAAGTCTTCTTTTAAATCCTCTTTTCGAGCTTGAATGCGCAATAGATGTAATGTAAGAGAAGTGGACTTACAAGGGCGGCTTGGCGGCGGACTCGGGCGGGTCGGGCCGGAAGAGGGGCGCGGGGCGCGGCTGCGCTGCCGGCCAGTCTTCGGGGTACACGATGCCGTCCACCGGCGGCGCACTCGGCGACACGGCCCACTGCTCCTGCGCAACACGAGTTTAGTCAAATCTAAATGGCCTTAGCATTTAGGGATTTTATGCACCATTTGCAAAAACTCAACATTGTCTACGGTTTAGTCTCACCACTTGATTTCTAACTACTTCGTTATGTCATGCTTTAAAAAATAATAAACTCCCAAGTCCAAACTGACTTCAAGATTCAAGGTCAACCTAAGGCCAAGAAATCCAAGACGCTAATCGCAAAAAGCCAAGAAAAAAAAAGAAAAAAAAACACGATTAAAAAAGAACAAAGAACTTATGTATACAGACTAAAGAAAAACTGTCACAAAGCCAACTGCTCACTAGCATTAAATATCCGTAAAGTAAATGATGTTAATATAATTCCAACGTCACGTCAAGTAAGTTCCAACGTCACAAGTCCGAATTTGATTTCCTTTGTACAAGCCGTTGCTGAAAAAATGGACAAGAGAATTCAAGTA